TGACTCCAAGCTATAACTGACATCGTTTTGGCCTGTTCGCACCCTCGGGTCTTGGTAGGAGTCTCCTGGTTGACCCAAAGTCGAGATGTGCTTTTGCCATCAGGACGCTTCAGATTTGGAAAGACTGGAAAGACTCTCAGAATCAGTGATCTCTTAAAACTCACTTTTAAAGACACTTCTTATTGTCTTATTATCTTCGTCCTATTTTATCTTACTTAGTACTATTCTACCAACTTGTTTTGATGCCGTAACATCCCCAATGTAATTTTATTTCTGTTTGCATTTTAATTCTTGTAGTTGCTTTGATCATCTCTTTATTAATGCTTTTATCTCCTTTTACTTTTTTATCTCCTTTTATTGATTTCATTATCATTTTCATTGCTCTTATTTAGTATTGCTTTATTTATCTCTTTTTTTTCTACCCTTGAATTGTTTTCCTCTTGTTTTATTGCTTTTACATATTTTCTGTTTTTATATTTTTTTAATCTCTTTTGATTGTTTCTGTCTCAAAATCATCTTAAGATCTTTGGTCCTCCTCGTTTCAATTCATCTCGTCGTTGGGTTTATTCCATTGGCCGGGTTCTTCATGTTTGGGTTCTTGTGCTTTATTCCACTGTTGCTTCCGCTTGTTCGTAAATCTGTGTTTTTAGATGTATTATTTAAACAGAGAGGGGAAATGAGAGGAGGGAAGGAGTGAGAAATTTCACACAGAATATAGGTCAGATTTTGTTTTCGTTCCTCTGACTCATGTTTTCCAAATTGTAATGTGTGTAATGGTTCACGTCTTCATTTATCTCAGGCACAAACTCTGACAGTGATCCTTTTGGCGTCTTCCTTCCTCCACAATTCCTGAATTTCTCAGGTGTGTCCTTGTTTGTTTGTTATTTATAAAATGTCTGCCATCTTGTTGCTCCTGCACAATAAGGGATGATGCATTTTACACTTCCTGTTTGGTTGGAAATATCCAAAGACAAAAAAGTGGATGCACAACAACATGTTTTTTGTTTTTTTTTCAATCAACAAACCATATCGGCTCTAACATAAATTTGCACAACATATGAAGTGTGTTCATTATACTTTCAGGCTTTTAAAACTATCAAATAAAGGCGACACATTGAAGTGCAGACAGAGGAAACTGTAGCATCATAACAGCTTTGTGTGCACGTCTGCAAAGTTTCTTCCTGTCATTGTGCATCTTCCTCCGCCCTCGCCTGGACCTACTGACCTCCTCTCTCACACACACTTAACATACCTTTCACGTTATATAAAGATCCATTCGCGCATATTCTTCTGACGCTTGTAAGTGGAATATTTGTATTTCTGGAGGAATGTTTATGTAAGGGATGTTAGACGACCCCTCCACACCTATGGGGTTCTGGTGTTGCTGGTTTGTCTTTCTGTTGCAGGTTCTGGTCAAGGCGGGGTCGTAATCAGGGGATGAGCTTCACCTGGGCCCGGCGTCGTCCTCATCTATATATTCTTCCTCTCAAGAGAGACATCCACTCGGTTGTTTCTTCTTGTTTCACAATTTGTTTTTAAATTGTTGTCAATACATTAGGTGTTATTTTTGGTATAACTCTTCTTTAACTCTTAATTTTGTTGCAGCCTTTGAGTCGTGTTGTCACAGATGAAAAGAGGGAGTTTTAAAAACCTCATGTCAGCTCTACATATGTCAAAAGATTTAGATGTGTTTCAAATGCTTAGGAAGAAAATGTTTCTTTATTATAAAAGTCATGTTTATGCTTCAGTGTTATCATGTTCTGGGAGATAAAGATGTTTTTTTTTTTTACAACTTGATTCAGTTCTGTATTGTTTAGAAAACAGTTCTGCTCAGAGTTTTATGTCGCCTGAAATTACGACTTGGATGCTTTTGTTTACATGTCAGAAACTTTCAGATGTGAGAAGTGTGATATGACAAACTGGGGACATAAATGATATCCAGAGAGGTTGTGTCAAACATAAGTGCTGATGAATATGTCCAGTCTACAAAAATATTTAAAAGTTCCCCTACAGTGACACTTAGCATGCCAAATGTGATCTTCACATGTTAGCAGTTGATTACAGTTCAAACTCTCTGCATTGTTCTGGTTATTTAATGTTGTGTTTCACTGAGCATGTTTAAATTTCCCCATGTTGGCCTGTGTGCATCCTGATTGTTATCCCCCCCCCTCACTTTATTGCATGATGTTAAAGGCAACGCTGAAAGCTCGTCAATGATGCAGCACACCTGTGAAGGTGTTGCTCAGGAGTCTTAAAATACAACCTGCATCATTTGATCTCTTTTCCTCAAACCTGACATCTGAAAGTTTGTCTCCTTTTGCATTCGTACGCTTTCAAAGCCACCAGACTGATGGTCATGTACCTCTGATAAAATAATGCAGGTAGTCACTTCTATGTGGATCGTACTGCCCACTTGGGGTTTCTCTTGCAGTGAAAAATTAGAACTAACTAATCTCAAATAATAGCAATGATCATTTCTACTCAGTAAGGCTAGTTCTTCTTTCAGGTTGGTTTCATCTGTGAATCCCCAGAGTCTCTCTGCTTCAATTAAATCATCCTGTATATCTTAATAAAACGCACACAGAGCTGTGAGAGAAGCTTAAAACTTGGCCACGCTGTGAGAGCATTAGCAGCACATTAGGCAAATTTTTTCATGTTTATTACTTGAATGCAATTCTGAAGGAGCAGATCTAAAATGATGCTCCTAATAAGATAATGTACTTTCATCTAATATCCAAAAAAAGTCACACCACGTCTGAGAAATCAGTCGAGGATGTGAGAGAAAATGTTTGTTAATTAGCCCATACCGCTTTGTTGGCGATCAAATGGACATTTTTGTCATACCCTCTAGTGGTCCTAATCTTAAAATACAGGTAAACGATGTGTAAATTATACTGTACTAGGTGTATGATCATAGTTTTTAATATAGCTCATGTGTGCCTGGTGTCCACATGCTGTGGTTTTCTCTGAATGTAACCGCATTCACTTCTTAGCTGCTAAATCAGAGCACATCCTGTCTGAGATTAAGAGGAACAAGTGGTCTGCAGCTGTCTCTCCTTAAGGGTCTAACTGGAATAAAGTTCTGCTTTTTTTCTTCCATCTCTTGCAGCAAACATATAAGTGCCATAAATGTATCTTACTTATATTCAAGGCAAAATTGGAGACTCTAACGAGACGTTGATATTTTGTATTTTTAGTGTCATGAATGTGTATTTCCTTTGAGAAGTGGATTAATAACACATGGACTGTGTAGAAGTTAAACCTCAATATTTTAACATAAAATAAAAGCCACATGTTGTGCAGCTGCAGGTAAATAGTAGGCTACTTTGTTATCCCGTATTTAGTTTTTATTTAACTCCTAAAGTTTTTTTTTAGTTATTTCTTGAAGTCACAACATGCACAGAGATGGGTTTTGCTGCAGAGGTGTCCCAGGATAAGAAATCAAACTTGATTGGACGTTGTGGTTTGTTTCTCATCTGGAGGTTCAGTCGCTCTGTGTGATCTGAACTCTCTGTCTTTGATCTCGTCTGAAACCACAAAAGAAACGGTTAATGAACAGACGGCGGAGGCGGATTTTCATCAACAGAGAGCTGAAAACACATGTCGGGTTTTTTTACTTCATTTTTACACACGATGCTTAACATGTCATCCTTGTTTCTACTTTTAAACCCAGCAGAGCAGGTTTATTCAGCCTACTACTTCCAAGCATAACTACTTCTTTCACCAGGGTTGATCATTTGCATTAATACACGCACACGCACACGCACACGCACACGCACACGCACACACACACACACTTGACTTCACATCCTCGACTCCAGGATCAGTTTGCTCCTTCATGTGTAATTCCTCTTTTTCCTCCTTTTGTTTTCTGTTTTCTTTGCCGCTTCCTGTTAACATTCACTGCTGCAGAATCTAAAAAAGGAACTTCAACCTGAGACGTGGCTCGAAGAAGCCAGGACTTTGTAGTATTAAATCTGTATTTTTATGATGTTTTGTTTGAGTTTACTTCAGTAAGACTTTTTAATAGGTCCTGAAGGCAAGTGAAGCGCCTTTCTGCTTTTGTGTTTTTTTAAATGTTACGCTGTTTCTTTTTTTTCTGATTAAATCGTTCCAGTGAAGAAAGTATTAATCATTGTGGATTGAATTTAGTACACAGCAGAAGTAAGAGTACAAAAAGTCAGATTATTATTTACTCCATTACATAAGTGTCACTTTCTATGCTTCGTGCCATCTTTTTTTCCAAGTACAACAACTTTTAGTCAAAAGTGTTAAACAAATGAAATACATTTAAACACAATAACTACACTCACAGTTGTAAAGCAACAGTTAAAATGTGTTTTTTTATTTGATAAGAAAAGCCAAATGAGTAAGCAGCTAATAATTATTCAGTCAATCCAAATCCTCATCCATTTCACAAAGAAAATGTACATATATTCACTGATTATCTGGATGAACAAATTTAAATTGACTAAACATCTGGATGGAATTAATGTGAATTCAATAAAATTCATGTCATAGTATCACACGTCTGTGCTTCTTTCCAACATAGTTACTGCTATTTTTACTAATCTTTGGCTAATTTAAAAATAGTGAAGTATATTGGATGTGACTTGCCATCATTTCTCAAAGTGTAGGAGTATTGAAACAGCTGATTCTCAATGTGCTGTATTTTACGAGTACATGCTGCCACCTTGTGGTTAAACATGGAGCTGCTTCTACACCTTTACTTTCTGATAGGGCATCTTGGTATTTGACTGCATTTTCCTTCAGCGTTTTGTGTCAAACTTAAAAGTGTGGAAGAATAATAATTGAAATACAGTTTTTGTGTATTATATAATGATCAGGATCATGGTCCTGCATTTTTGTTCTAAAACTGGTTAAAAACACGTAAGTATGTGTTTTCATGTTTTAATTTGTAAGATGCATCATATATAATTTATTTTTTTATCATGTAGGAAACTTTGAATCCTCAATGGAAAAAAAAGAAAAAGAAAGGCTCATTGTGGGATCATATTTATTACAAACTGTACACTGAGTGGAAAGAATCAGCAGAATGACATTGATCACATCATCTGTCATCATTATCATCGACACTGCAGAAAATCAACATGAGCTGTTTCAAATCATTCTTCACTAATAAAACACATCTGAGTTTAATATTATCTTTGTTTATTGCATTACAGTGTGTTCCTCCTGATGATCTCAACAGGCACATAGTTAAACTGATTCCAATCAAATCTAATATCTCATCTGCTACACTAAAAAAAGATAAGTGTTCATTCCCTGCAGAGCTTCAGCTTATCGGCTTCAACCCCTTTTACAAAAAAGTCCCCATTTAAAAAAAAAAAAAAAAAAAACAATCATTCAATGAAAAGAGAACAAAAACAATCCAGCAGACAGGTGAGAAATAAAACATATAGAATGTATAAAACAATTTAAAGAGTATTTAAAAAAACAGATGTTTGTTTCCCCTTTAGGTAAAGTAGTCACACTTCTTCATGTTTTTGACACATCTGACGTCAGATCTGAAATGTATGTCTGAGAGCTTTATAAGGTTTTCAAAGAAAATCTGAAATACTGAGATTTATAACACTGTTGTTTTAGAGAGGGGTCAGAGGGAAAGTTATGCTGTGTAGAAATGTTTTTTGGTTTAGTGATCTGGAGGAATCAGCAGGACAGAGTGAGGCACATGGTGGGGTTTGTGTCACGGCATCATGTCAGTACAGTCTTTTTTGGCATGAGTGGCTCTATACAAAAATGGACAATTTAAATTGGTTTGACATTTATTGCAATTCTCTTTTTAACCAGTAGAGGGAGCTATCAGCTTACTTATACTCACTTGTAATCAGGCGTCAAAAAGTTGATAACATCCATAGCTTTGTGTACTTCAGTGCCACAAACACAAACTGCAGACGTTCACTTTGACTCAGGATGATTTGATTCAGGATTGTTTTGAAAATCCTTCTTTTATGTAAACAAAAGTTTCAAAGAGGTCTAACTCTGATCTTACTATTATTTATAAAGAAAAAGGAGCAAATTTTTTATATTTATTGTCAGAGAATTAAATTAAAATATGATTTATTCTTGAATCTCGTTTATTTATAAAAATTAGAAAATTGTAAAATATTCTGATAGTATCATATCGTGAACACAGGATCAACATCCGTGTAGTATTGTGAGCTGTGCGTTTTGACTGTTTTGCGTTCTCCAACAGGAATTCACAGACACAGTGAAAGGACTCACTTTCAATGTAAAAAAAAATATTTACATATGATTTTCATATTGTGAGGGGAATCAGTCTGAAAAGCTTCCAGTGTTTTGTTCCTTTGGTTCTGTAGAGCTGTATCGGTGCTTACACTGAATAAAATATTATAAAAACCTCTTTACATTTGAATAGCTTCCACACATCCTTCACCACAAAAAAATGGTTTGTATTTGTCTAATGCCTCTTTAAGCTTTTCTGATGTCATTTTGGTCTCCGTTCTGTTTTTTTAACAATTAAACAAGTTATATGGTACATCAGAAATGTACAAATGAGGCGAGATTGCGGGAATTACACCACATTAAAATCACCTTCATGTTAAGCTTAACATGTCAAATGTTTTTTTTTTTTTTTCTTCTTGTCATCTGACATCCAACCTTTCATGGACCTCTGTGAGGTTTATAAATCTCAGTACTCTGTGCAACTTCTGCTTTCATTTCCCAATTAAAATCGTGATTACGTGCAAACAAACAAAAAGACCTGGAACGTCCCGCGTGTTCTCCCTGGCTGGTTTTAGTCCGAGTGAAGGGAGAGAGCGATTTTGAGGCAGCCCAGCTCGTTGCCCTGGCTGCCCAGCACGCCCTGCACGCGGTAGTGCCCGTTCGTCAGCCAGGAAGGCAGATCCATGTTGGGCAGGAAGAAGTCCGACTGAGGCAGAGAGTACGAGCCCTGAGGAGACACACATGAGACTCTCTGGTTACTCTGTGCAGGATGTGTGGTGTTTCATAAATGTGAATGTTCAAATTTAAAACCCATTAGTAAAAATCAGAGAATTTGACTACTTGCAATGCTTTTGATTGCAGTTTATTCTACAGATCGATTACATTTACAATTTTCTAAGGTAGTATTATGGGGCTGTTAGGCATTCGGACAATATAATGGAAAGTGCTTTTAAATAAATATTGTATGACATGGTTAGATCACAGGCCAGATGTAACTACTTTGTGTCTGTAAAGAGAAACATGTCAAAAGAGAAACAGCGGTCAGACTCACAGCTTTGAAGGGGCAGTGGCAGGGCAGTCCGTAGGTGTGCAGCGGTTCGGGACAGTCCTCACCTGGAGGGAAAACCTGGTTCAGGAGATCACAGGCGTCCTTATAGTGACAGCTGCCCAACTCATCCAAACACGGGATCTTCACCCAGAAACCCGCCACCTCCTTCTCCAGAGTCACGGTCACCTGAGGAGGAAGAAGAGGAGGACAACATTTCTGAGCTGTTTTCAGGTAGAAGAAAAAGAGTATTACAACAGGGCGACATGTGACGTGTCTTTGAAGTCACAGTTCATAAACCACACTTCACATTGGCCTTTAATAGATATAATGATTGACGGATACATACAAAACAGGACACGATATGCACATAGAGGTGAAACAAAAAAGGAGAAGTGGAACAACAGTGAGTGAAAAAGAGACCTGAAACAGACGACACAGTAGAGTGAGATTTTAAAGAGGAAATGCTGAGGTGAGCTATGAGGAAGTCTCATTTTAGTTCACTGACCAGAATAGAAACAGCAGTAACTTCATATCATATGATAACAAGAAGCAAACATTTAAAATGAGTGATGCACAACCTGCATGTAAAAGTGTCCCTCCATTAAGAAATAAAACATACATTGATCTTTTTGAGCTTCCCTGTGCACCATCATGTGTTTTCACATGAACCTGCTGAAGATGGACATTTGACATTAATCTGCACTATGTGGATTTGACAGTGCAGTTGCCCTCGGAGACTGTGCTCGACTCCAAAGCCCATCAAACTTCAACTTGCTTGATGTCAAAACACTTTGACTTCCTGAAGACGGCAACATAAAGGAATTTGATTTGTTAAAAAGGAGTGTCTTGAAGTATTTCTGTTGTGTTTGTCAAACAGTTCTTAAAAGTCATCGTTTTATCATCTGGTGTGTGAAACAAACGTGTGACACTGAGAGCACAGAGCGTGACCAGACTGTTGTTGTGAGAGGAGTATCACTCACACACAGTGCTGTGTGTTATCTCTGCAGGATGTTTATCACAGTTTTATCTACAGCCCAGCTGAGTGTGTCACACAGATTATCTTACTTGCCTAAAACAATGCAACTTTGATCAAGTTAAAATAAATATGCATGATTCCTGTTCTGAGCTCTAAGGTCAACCCTGTAAAATATATATATATATATAAATATACCAACATATAGGGGTAACTAAAGTGTTGACTGGAAAGCAGAGGCTAAACGTTCACAGGAGCAGTAGGTCAGCTTTTACAGTTTCACTTTTAGACTCAGCATGTGATCAAACACAACAAAAATACTAAACCTGCTGAGTCAGGGGGATTTTCAATCCTCACTTGTTTACACACATGACCGCAGCTTTACAGTCCAAAGTGGCTCATAAACGTACTTCTGCTGCAGAGATAAACAAACAACAGAGAAGGAGAGAGAGTTCATCAAATCTGCAAACCTCTCATCGCGAGATTTAACAGGAAATAAAGGCTTCAAGGAGAGTGTTTTAATGTGGAACAGAAGACGTTTTTGGACGACCTGAACTAGATTTAAGAAGAAAAAAAAAAAGAAACACCTTAACTCATCAAAAGGACAGTTTCTGACAGGATGAAGTCCACAATCAGAAAAAAAAAAGTTCATTAATAAGACCTCTAATGTTGAATCTAAGGCATACTGCACAATGTATTGATTTATCACCGAAGACAAAACTTGGACATTTCAAGAACTTTTAGAGAACGTTTTTAATGTTGACTTTTATTGTGCAATACTGTGTAGTCGGTTAAAGCAGATATCATGTATCTCTAAAGATAAAGGAGAAAGAAAAGAAACAAATAGCTCTGTGTGCAGCAGCACTGCCTGATCCGCTCACATGAAGCTCACAGGATCAGCAGCAGATTCAGACATTCCCAGCACAGCCGAGGACAAACAACAACCTGCTCCGTTCAGACTTCAGACAGCGTGTGGAGTCAAACTGTGCTCATGTTCAAACAGACTTATTTGCAATCCTAGTGGCTTAAATGGTAAAGATATTTAAGACAGGGAACTATTTTGACACACTTTTTGGGTCTGACACATTTCTTCAAGTAGATTGCTTCAGTCAGCTGCTGCAAGACTGGAGTGGCTTGCGAGTGCCTGATGAAAGAGTATACTCAAGGTTCCTTTATTTTGACCAGAGGTAACACAACTCTCTTCAAAGCCATCACTCTATACTGGACAAAATACATGAGATTACATGCAGAACAAGTGAGTTGCATGTCTACAGACGTTTGCTAACAATGTTGGGAGCTACAGTTTTCAATGTAAACTTATTCTTGCCATAATTTGTCCTAAAAGTTGATATGAAAATAGGTTCAAAGAAGTTACTTCTTGCTGCAGGAAGGTGTGGTTTTCAGGGAGCTTGTCTCTTTAAAATGTGAGATTCAAATGATATTGAAGGTGTTTGACCCGTGTTTTGTAAGTGTTGTGTCTGTAGCTGTTAAAATGCGCTGCTGCCAGTCTTTGGCCAGGACACTCAAATGTATCATCATCTATTACGACAGTTTACAACACATACAATGACATAAACAATCTAAGAGATCAACACCAGTAACTATCATTCAGTATGTTGAATGTGGTCTCTTTGTCAGTGTAGTCTGGTGGCAGACACTTAAAATAACGATGTGAGCGTGTCAGGGGGAAAATAACCTTCGGTGTGTTTACTCAGATAGATAGAGTGCATTGGCCTCCACACGTTCTGCTGTTGTTTATTCAAGGCTGCCAGATGATGCAATCAACTGGAGAACTTCCACAACTGTGCCATAATCAATGAAGACGCCATGGTTTAAAACACCAGACTAATCCTTTAATGATCAGCTACCGAGATGTCTGTTTTTATTCAGAGTAAGGCATCTGTTCAATCAAACAGACGATTAAAGGACTCTCAGGAGTGCTGACATCTAACGACAGACCACATGGGAGAATGTATGATGTTGAAAGGGACACAGCACTCACAGACAGGGGCGAGTCCAGCCCTACAGATGTGGATCCAGAGGCGGAGGCCGTCAGGTCTCCTGGGATGGAGATCGGGTCTGGAGACACTTCCAGACTCTTGAGCACAGCTGGAGCATCTGGCTTCCCGCAGTTCTTCCAGTCAATGCCCAAAATCTGCCCAAAACACACACAGACACACACACAACATAAACATCAGAATCAGACCAAACGAAGCAGCACTTGTTATTACAATTCAGTGTTTCAGAAGAGTGTGACGACTCCGGTCCAAGTGTCAGGAGTGTATTACAAACAGGAAGAGAGACACTCCATTAACAACTTTTAAATGTCTTTAAACACATTTTTAATTACTAAAGCGAATGTGTATTGCCTCGTTGTTTTTATCTGTTCTTGTGTCTGTAGATTTGTACATTTTAAAATGCGGCATAAATCCAGCCCAATGTTAGTATCACTTTAGTTTATCGAAAGCAAACCTCTGCAAACTCATGAAATACAAAGTCGGAATACACACAAAAATCTTTGGCAGTCAAGAGAGTGAAGTTATGAGATTTCACAGAAAAATGTCCTTACCATAGAAAGACATGAAGATGCAGTTTTTTTAATTATTTATTTTCTATTGAAGTTGAATTAAAGTAGCAGTAAGCAACATCAATCATTTAATTATGCACCACTGTAACGACATGGGGAGTTTAAACTGAGATCAACAAGACCTAATGGAAGACAATTTGATATATTTAGGTCAAAGGGGGCAACTGTGTTTTCTTAATCACAGTGTAGAAAGGTGTTGTAACTACAAGCCGTTATTGTTAAATGTTTAAAAATATGTTTATGTAATTATTAAAATATAAGTTTAATTATAAAACAATAGGCTGGTAGTCATTATAAAGGCTGACATCGTGCAACAGTCACCAGCTGTGGCTCACAGAATGTTTAAAGAACAAGCTCTATTTCTTTTAGTGATATTTGGGTTGAACTTTAAGACTTTTCTGTCCAGAGCAGGGATGGGCAACTTTGGTCACGGCAAGGGCCACATTCAATTAATTCTCCCTGCCAAAGGGCCAAATTGTAGTATACAAAAACGATCAATTATGAATCAATTATAAAAAAAGAAAAAAATCAGTTATGTCTCAAATTTAACTCAACATATACCGGTGATCAAATATTATGATGGGCGTATTTCTTGTTTTCATGATTTCACGGCTGATTTTGTCACATTTTCTTCATGTTTCCTATTCATTGATATGTAAGGATTGACCTGAGGGGCCACGTTGAGGGCTGACGGGGGCCGCATGTGGCCCCCGGGCCGCCAGTTGCCCACACCCAGGTCTGGAGACACCGCAAGTCTAAAAAGTTCAACCGAAATATGATGTCATTGGTAGCCCATTGTGAATATTACTCCGTGATCAAAGTAAATTATTGAAGTAGTCAATTCTTTAAAGTTATTAACACTATTATGTAGATAAGCTCTACAAAAGCACAGCAGACTGTTTGTGTACATTGTGTACTCTCCACGTTCAGGATACAGATGGAAATGTTTTACAGGACAACAAAAAAAAACAACCCGGACTGAATATTAAAACATTAGTTGTATTGCGGCTGTGTGATAATTAGTGATGCAGCGTTACAAACGGACTCACCTGTGTCTGTTTCACTCTTTTAAATGTGGAGTTTCTGCTGCAGTCTGCCTGAGTTAAAACTAAAACTACAACCAGGCTCAAGGTTAGAGTCAACATGTTCAGTTTCTCCATCCTGCAGTCTCCCTGAGCGCAGATACCGACACAAACCGGAGTAAATACAAAGAAAAGTATCCGCTGTGAAGACGGCGAGCAGTGAAACTCCACTGAGGCAAACCTGGGAGGCTGCACAGGTTTTATTCTTCTTGCGGAGAATACTTCCGTGTTTACTTCGTGAGAAACTACACTTCCGCACCGGCCCAGTCTGTCACGTTACTGCTGGACCACGTGATTAGTAATAGGCTACATAACCTAAATAAAGGATGGTTAAAAAATGGATAATGCAAAGAAAAAAAAAAGGGATATCTCAAATATTTTGTTAGAGAAATGCGAAATTTTGTTTTATATGGCTGATTTTAGAATATGAATGTAGATTGTATTGTTATTTATTTTTAATCACGTTTTTCTTCTTTTGTGTTACTTGGCTATTTTTTCTTCTTAATTATGCCATTTTTCATTCACCTGTTGCTCTGGTTTAATTGGACCCCACCCAGCATGTATCGCTGCACTCACTGCCTCACCTGACCAAGCCACGCCCCCGACATTTCCAAAACCTCCAAATCATGTCAACATGAACAAAGAGAGGAAAAAAAAAACGTGAGTTGCAGGTGGTCTTGTTTTATTCTTAATCAATACAGCCTACTATAAACTATCTTGACCCAATACAACTAGGCTTTAATGTGTATTGTAATGGAAGCCTCCTATTTCACGTAGTGTAAAACGTAAGTATACGTAAGTGACGTCAACATGAGTGATTGATACTGTACGCTCTAGTTTAGTCCATATTCAGGCTCAGTCGTAATATATAGATCGATTGATTTCTTTATTTCGAACATGCAAAGGAAATAAAACAAAGAAAATCTCTAATTAAAAATATGTAGAAAAAACTATAAAATAAATACACAACATAAAAAAGAAAATTAAACGTCCTTCATTTGCTCTTACAGGCCCGAAAAGGAGTAGGAAGAAGTTAAAACTTAGCTTATCCTGCCCCTTTTAAACTGTTCATTTTATACAATTAATAAATACAGTGGCAGCTTGCTGGTAATATTCCAACCCATCATTAGGCTTCTTGTTTTTGTTGTATAGGCTACATGTGGGTGCATAAATTATAAGGTGCAACACGCCTGTTTAAATCTCTTTTTTTATAATGTTTTTTTCATTTTCAGGATCCATAGGTTTGTAGACCTGTAGTTTATTCTGTTCTTTAATTACACAGAGGAGCAATGACAAGTGATCCACAACTGGTCCTTTTAAACATGTGACTACAGTAAAGTGTTTTTATATCCCAGGATTCGGTTTGTAAATGTCCAACACATCTGACTCTGGACCAACGCCAGCGGAAACACCTATAGCTCTTATTACTGCAGAATGAAAGCCACATGTTGTCCAAGACCAACGTAAAAAGTAGACAACATAAAAAAGTAAACAAAAAAGACCTACGGAAAGGAAGGGATAAAATATCTCTCTCAAGCAGAGCCAAAAGCCAAGTAATACAAACTAATATTATCACAAGTTTTACTCACTGTTTAGTTTGACCCCCCCCCCATATTATTGTAGCCTGTTAAAAAGTAAGTTAATAACTTCTTGTAGTATCAATAACAAATGTGTTAATATGTGCCTCTTACTGTTTTCTAGATGAGATAAAGAAACAAAGTCATTATCATCTAGTGGCCTTTCTTTGAACATTGATACATGGATAATGCATTTTAGTTTATTTATCTTTGTGTACCAGCATACCTACTGTAGTTAATCAGACCAACAAAAGCAACTCATTTTTTCATATTATCAAAAAAAAAGAACACTATGTTGATATGGGTTTAGAATCAATCACTTGTAGTTACAGAGTAGTGCCGCTAGATGTCAGTATATGAATTGGATAGGCATACACATGGTACTTCAGATGGCTATTGTACTGATGTTGTTTAGAAGGCTGTTTGAGATGAGATGACTGACAATAATGATTCAAATGATGGTTAATACTACTAAATACTGCTTGGGCCACTGATAGTCTACTACAAAGATCATAATCAAGTAGCCAGCTAGGCTGAGCAGCAAGCCCATTATTAAGTCACATGATGTAAGAGAGACAATTAGTGTGAAATCTTATTGCACATAAAATCCTGTTGAACTAACAGCAAAAGAATACTACTCACATTAAAAATATATTATACTATTTAGAGCTACTGTATTTTATAGCTGTCATACATTAGGTAGTCCTTATTTTCTCACTTCAAAATTGCCTATCTCTCTCTTAAGCATGTGAACGCACCTTGACCTATGACCTTGACTCAACTCCCATGGGGGCCTTTAAGAAACCACTAATCCACCACGGTTTGTTAAAATAAAACTAGAGCTCAGCTGAAGTCCTTAATGCCTATTATTGTGTATTACACAAAGCTACATTTCATTTGTTTCTGCACTTTTTCTGAGCATTTCTGTAACCCATGTTTAACATCATAATTATGTGATCATAATCCAGCTCTGAATATATTCACATAACAATAGTACACTTAAGTCATAGCGCCACCTACTGCAAGGAGGACGTCCTACCTCCCACATTTAATGTCACATATATTATTCAAATGAAGAATAACACAAATGGCCTGATCACATCTACCCTAATACAATTATTGTGTTATCATGGAGCCAGTATATTACAACTTTCCAACAAATTGATCTGCCAAGCCCACATCCTGTGGCTACTGCACTCCCCAACGTGCACAGGTGTGCGAGGGCCCTTTCATCGCTGCTTTCTCCATATTATACTTTTCTTGATACTTACAGTAGATGTCTTTAACATACTGAATGTACATGCATTTCACTATAATAGATGTATAATTATCTAATTGAATTTTGATCAATTAAAGTAAAAGTTTGAATAAAAAAAGACAGCCACCGCAGTAGCTTGTAGGAAATGACCCAAGACTGTTGTTAACGACTTTGGTTTAGTCCAATCCCCAAGAAGAAGTAACCCTTCAGGTTTGTGAAATATATTTTGCAGCAGTTGAAAAAAAAAATGTAGCAAGTCAATTTTTTATTTTTTTTGCATCAAGTAAAAAATAATTAACAGCAGTTGAGATAAAATGTGCAGCAGGTGAATGTTTATTGCAGAAGGTGAAATGTTTTTGGCAGCAAGTGAAATGGTTCTGTTTCTTGAAATATTTTGACGTTTAGTGAAATGTTTTTGCCATCCAGTGAAATGTTTTCTTGCGACCACGAAGCCTAAATATGTGTGCAGTTGACCTTTAGCGCCACCGTAGACTATATCTCTTTGTACACATGCCTGCAGGATGGAGAGGGGAGAAAGAGAAGGAAGCAGGAAGAGGAGGGAGGAGGGGTGCAGGGGGAGCCAGATGATGCTGTGAAAGGAGGAGGAGGGTCCTGTCCGCCGGCAGCAGCAGCAGCAGCAGCGCACCGAGCTCCTCTCCATCCCATGTGTTTGAAAAAAGAAAAGAAAGATGGGCTCGGATCCAGACATGTGCTGTTAGAAAAGACCTCTGATTAGCTTTATGTAGTTTTTAATAACCTCGTTTGAGAAGAAAAAAGCGGAAAAGGGACTATTAAATCACTCTTTTTTTTTTTTACCGACAATGCTACCCTGCTCATCATCGGCGCAGATGGAGGGATGCGAGGAGGAGAGGGACGCGCACATGCACACCGAGGTAAACCGATAAAACACGTAGAATTACTCAATTATTAGCCTTTAATCCAATTTACACTGCGTGTAAACCACTGCCCAGTGCCCAGAAGGGTCTGTGTGTGTGTGTTTCACGGGCAGATGGGACATTTTGCAGGTTTATTTAAGCCGGTTTAATCGCCGGCCGGCGTCTCCTGCAGGTTATTGTAGACATCAGAGAGCCGGACCCCTCCCTAAAAAAAAATGTAGATCTTCTCGCCATTTAAGCGGAGACGAAACCTAACACAACAATTTGTATTAGAGATTGATTTAGATCTTTTTTAATGGATAATGTTCATGGTTTCTAATTGTATTTTAATCCTTAAGAGCAACGTGTCGCTGATAATCTGGCTGCATAATGACTTCATGCATTAAAAAGAAAAAGCCTCACCCCAGGTTTAAACGAGATTTGAAAGAACTACTTTCACTTGTCCATCCATGTTAACCTTCATTACTCCCTTAACTGCCTGCTGATTTGGTGATAATAAGGAGTGGATTCAGTGGGAATCTAGTCCATAATTCCTCCCTGTGATGATGCTCCAGGCTACTTAACATACTTAATAAACCATGGATTTAAACACAAAGGGAGGGTGTTTTTTGGTGTTTGGCTTCACCTTTACCAATAGCCTATGCTAAGTCCAAAATCAACCCCCTAAACCTGCTTATTTAGTACTTTATGTTGGGTTACATTGGGAGCTGAACCCTCCACCCCTGGTGTGTTAAGGGTTAACATCAAAATGAAGCAGATTTTGGGTGTTGTACAATTACAGTCACAGTTAAAGCAAAGCAGGGAACTGACATATTGATCAGTGCGATGCAAACCATGCAACTGATCAATTCAAGCGAGTTTTGGCATTCTTTCCAACCATGTCTTTTGCACCTAAACCAGCAAAACCTGTTTCAGTTTGCTTACCAGATCATTTCAGTTAGCCTGTTATTTAATAGGTAGGCTACTGTGACACTGCCACTCGGATGCTGAAAGCTGAAACAAGTACCGAAACACCTGGTGTCCATCAGATATATATATAGGCCTAACTGATCTTGGCTCCTTCAAAATATAATGGAGATAGCGATCCTTCCTTGCTTTATGTGTTGCGTGTATGACACATCGTGCCCATGTTGGTATGATATAAGTGTCTTGCTCCCTAGAATAGTGTTAATGCCTTGCTCTGTCCATTGACCCACAGAAAGAGAAATAGACTCCTAATCTTTCCGTTGCATGACATTGGGAATGGGACCCCTTACCTTTCTTTCCCATCCTCCATCTGTGTTACTGCTTTTTAATTATCCATTGTGTGTTGGTGCCCTGCTCTGACCATAGACCTACAAAGAGGGAATAGAGCTAGCAACCTCTTCAGTTTTTAACAAATGTATCCCATTCCTATTCTCCTTCTAGCTGCTTAGTCAGTAATTGAACCCCAAACTCCTGAAGTGTGTTTTTCCCATGCTATTTCCATTGACCGACATAAAACAAATGGACTCAATTTGATTTGACCTTTGCATTAAAAATAGGAGTAGAACCAAATAGGTATATATTTCCTTCATGAAGGCTGTGAAGTGCAAACAAAGTAACCATTCAAGGTCGTGGTAGCTCAGTAACTCCAATGCTCTGCACGGTAATATTACAATCTTTGTCGATTGAGTCGGTTTGGAAAATAGCAACGATACAGCGGTTTCTGGCTTTTTTGGAAAAAATTTACCATTTCCCTAAATAAAAACGTTTTTTTTTTTTTTTATCATTTTAGGGATTATTTCTGTCATGTTGTTGGATACAATTTATAACAATCTGAGGATGACAGTGACAAAAACAAACGAAAGAAAGTCAAAATACTGTCCCCCCCAGGTTCAAAAATACAGAAAGTACCATTTGTGGGCCCTTTATACTGCCAAGATCAGACCATTAGACAGGAAAAATGTTGATATATTTCACTTTAAGCTAATGAAACATATACAGGGCACATTGTGCAATTCATAGCTTTCAGTCAGGTGACAAGCGCGGAGGGCTGAAGGTTAAAAACCGCATAGAAAAGTAACGTTGACTGTAGAACCACAGCACAGGCTTTTTCATTTAATATTTTCTATAAACGACACGTGTTTACATCACCTGACAACCAAAGTAAGTGAGACCAGTAACTTCTCATAGCGCAGTGGTAGAAAGCCCTTCTTGCCCGCCAGGTGGGCGGTTCCACAAGAGTGGGACGTCACATGAAAGCTATATGATTTGCACCATCACTTGTACTTTTTAACCAAACCAATACCATGGATAAAGAGAATGGCAACGACAGACATCTTTTTGTTTTCACACACTTTCAAGCAAATTTTCAAATGTGATTTGTTGCAGTTTGACTGTTAAGTAGCTTCAACACTAGCCGAGAAAAAAAAAAGGAACTTGCCAAGCATTATAACATTAAAATTCAAAGAAAAACTGAGCTACTGCTGACTTCAATTTAAAATCAGAGGATGTCAGCAGCAAATGCCTGCCTGTGCATGGCTGTAGATCTTCTAAGAAGATGGGGATTTACATATTTTTATTTAAATGAAAAAAAAGTGAAGTCATGCATCCCTGTACTCACTGAGCACAGCGCAGGGGATTTGAACCACTCTATCCTGGCAGCATCAGTGCCTCGCTGTGTGCCAGTGAACCCGCTGCCCGCGCTGTGCTCCTGAGGGAAATCTGAGCTGACAGTGTGTGAGACTGCTGGTAGAGCTGGGAGAAAGTGGGCCAAGTGCTTCCTGCTGCTGAAGGAGAGAGAGAGACGGATGCTTGCGTCCTTTTTTTTGTCCTTTTTTGTCCTTTTTTGATATTATATCACCTCGATTTTGTCGCAGTTACACCCTTTTAGTTTTTAATCACATTTAATCTCCTATAACATGTTTGAAAAATGTGTTCTTTTCAAAGTTTGTGCAGGGTTTGATTCACATTTTCACTGTTGTATATAGTAACTGTGCTTTTATACTTATGAGATACACATTTTGAGTATTTCCATCTGATTGTAGGGAAGATTAAATCATTCCTCCATCAAAGGATGTTGCCCAAAAATGTAGTTCTTAAGTCAATCACCTCATTTACGCCTTCTAAAACAACAAATCTGAATGCAGATACTGTACAGAGAACAGGAGAAGGTGTAAATGAAATATGTCAAAGTGTTAAAGATTGGATCTCAGACCGGTGTAACTGTACTCCACAAAGCTTGATCCCATTCTTATGAGGAATCCAAAACAGAATTTCACCTGATTTCAGGAGTGGATCGTACGTCGGGAGCACCAGGACATTTCCCATTGGCCTGAGGATCTATTGGAAGATCTGCCGTAAACTGTCAATGTGAACAGCAAGAATGAATGAATTGACCTCTCTGAATGCACGCATCATCTTATGCAAGTGTAACTCTTGGGTTGGTTTATTGAGCTCTGCTAGTTGCCGTAGTGTTCCGGCCACTGTCTGTTAAATGAAGTCATAGCATCCCGTGTGACGCACAAAGCAACCGGCTACCTGCTGCTTCTTAACTGGCATTGACAACGTTATTACCAGGTTAAATGAACGGTCACAAGGAAAGGTGTAGCAGAGAGGGAGGGAATAAGAAAGGAGAAAGGACCTTACCACAGATGCAGCAAAGTGCTTCAAAATAAATTAATGTTTAGTAGTAAGGGACCAGGTTAGTCTTCATTATACCAAGCATGGCTAGCTTAGTGGTGGCTAATAACAGTGTGACAAGGCTTCACAGTTAGCATGTCTCTCTGTGGAGGAATTAAATCATAATGAATGTAACAGTGTGATCACATAATATTGAAGGCAGTGTGTTTTAATCCTGTCAAAAAAAAGCACAAGCTAATGAAAGGGCATACATTAGCATACATATTGTTACTCTGACACAGCTACGGAGTGAATCTAAGCTAGCTAGGTTAAACATTTGTGTTATACTGTTGTAGTGACTGTTTTTAACTGAATTTGAAATGTAGAACTAGGGACACAGTTAGCTTACATAATTACTGGTTCATGTGGACAGGGTATGCCTGTAGTCAAACTCCCAGCCTGAAATATTTCCCCTGTTTGTCCCTGCCCTCTTTTTGCTAGCTTGAGGGTGTGGGTAAAATCTACAAATAGCTGCAGTAGCTTTGTTTTATGCGTCCACTCTAATAAAAGCCATGACTAGAGGCCGGTAAGGTGTTGTCCCTCTGTCTGACAGTCCATCCCATTTTACTGAATTTAATATTCCTGATATGGCTGGAAGGGATTTCTCCAAATTTGGCGTGTCAAGTTGGACTCAAGGATTGACTAACTGTCTACAGTGATCCCCAAAATGTTTGGCCTTAACCCTAGAATTATAAATGATTTGTCTTACAGGGTTGAATAATGGCATGACATTGATGAAATATTTGAAAAGAAAGGTCAACCGTACAGTGAAATAATGATATCCTGTACACATTGTTCTTGTGTCCCTCTCCCATTTGTGGTATCTAGTTACACCATCTGCAAGTATTTAGTGGGGATATTTTTTGTAAATATTTCCTTACAAAAGAAATAACAACAACCATACCCTGATTAGCATCATGTTTGTTGACAAGTCTGCCAGTCTCATCTAACCGATTTACAGAATAAGATGATGGCAGTATAAGAAAATGCTTTTTAAGCTGGACAGACTTGGGGATTTGTAATTCATACAGGTACCACAAGTTTACACCAGGTTTAAATGGAGCCGTACAGACTTTGACTACTTAAGACTACATTCAGGTGCTTCATATTCTGTTCTTTGTAACTCATTTGGTCAAAATATCCTAAAAGTCAGGAAGTTGAGTTAAAGATAGCAGCTGTAAATGTAAAAAGGTTCAACGATACAAGACTTCAAGACTTTCATTCAAATGAATGAAAACCTCTCTGTCTCTATGAGCCTGTTCTGAATAATACATCCAGGTCGTTACCAAGAACAACTACAGTTTTTCATCCGGCAGTGACTTCTTTATTGGTCAGCCTGGTCTTATTTATTAACCTGTGACTGATGACCACCTGAGTGCAAAGACCTGATAAATACAGTATGGGCACTCAGGGGTTTTTACAGGCTTTACAAGAAGCCAGAGAGTACCTGAATGCGTCATTAAAAAGCTCATGGTCCTGCAGTCAGTAAAGCCCACACTGCAGCTGAGTCCTCAGAATTATAGCACATTTTTAGGACCTAGTCTTTGAAGCCAAACACAGACTGTAGGTTTCAAATGAAACGTCAGACCTTTAAATATAAATGGGTGATTAACTGGAGCCTGGAGGGCAGTCTGGGGACATCTGGAGGATTGAGCTCACCTGGACAGACTGCCTGATTTCAATATCTAGGCAGATTGCAACCTGGCAGTCTGGTTTGCATTCTTTCTTCTGGAGGGTTGCTAATGCTTCATCTTCTTGGTAGTTACTGAAGACAGCTAAGAAATAAGTCAATTTCTTATTGACCTTTCCAAAGTCCTCATTGGTTACTGCAAGGTTTGACAAGCTTGCAAAAAGAAACATGGCAACATCACTTCCATTTTGGTGGTTGCAAAAGTCGGTTTTGGGTGTTGGACGTTCAGGATACAGCTTCAGAAGACAGTCATAGTTATGGTACGCAGTGGACAGATTTATTCAAAAACGTAACTTTTATGATCAATGGAAAAAATAATAATTTTGATGCCAAACCATTGATTTCTTAACACAAAATGCAGAAGCCAAACATTTTTTTTGTCTCTAGAGACCAAGGATGGAACGTCTATCAATCAGTATAGCTCCTACCCTGCCAGGTTTCTGTCCTTTTCATCCTCTTGGTGATGTAGACCCTGCTGTCTGCATCTTGAAGCCATTATTGCCTAATGCCTAAATGATAAAAGGTGGCTTGTTTTCCATTTTGGTAGTCAACTACCCTTAACAACTACAATTTAAATGCAACTCTTCCCACGTTCTAGATATAATATTATACAATACAATACCATTCGATACTCAAATTGTTATTGTTCCCATAGTGAAATTTGTTTTGCACTCCAATACATTTACCACCTGTACAGTATTATCAGAAAATAATGGCAACAAAAACAAAGAAGCACTTACCATGACCACAATTTTCACTGTACTACCCTAAAAAGGAGTGGGGTTAAAAGGTAACAACGATAAGAAGCTACAATATTTGATTTATCAACTTAAATATTAGATTTATTAATATTTAAGCATCGTGTTACCTATTAGACCTTGGCCAGTCTGACTTGCATTGGGGCCATCGTGATTTTTTTCACTACATTGATAATAAAATTGGAGATACCCTGTCCTTTTGGGTTCAAAGATGAAATGAACTCATGTACAATTGCTCTATTTTCCTCTGTTTTTGCGACAGTAGGTCAATGAATGCTTTAGGATTTCCAATTACTTTCGTTAATGAAGCGTGTGCAGAGCAGGCAGCACTGAAGAAGATTTTCTACGTTTTGACTGCGGCCTTTTTAAGTGCCGTCGTATGTCTCTGTCCTGTTAAGAAAAGATCTGACCAATGTCTAATGAGATGATGCCAATCCCTGTAAAATCTGACATTAAACTGGAAAGGGAACATAAGCTTTTCCCTAGGTTGAAAATTCCCCACAAAGACTCATCTAGTTTAGTAGAGAACAGTTCTAGCTTTTTTTTATTTTTCCTCCTCTGAGGGATCACAGGCATTTTAAAATGAAGTTTGGGGATTAGCAGAAAAATGTACAGCCATGAAGCTTTCCTCTCTTGGCTTTATCTGTTGCCTTTTTAAATTAAAACTGACTGCAATAAGATGAAAGGTTTTCTGGACCATTTAAGATCCAGGTTATTCTCTGGCCATTGGCTTTAATAGTCTACGTCAGTTTTCCTTCAGTAGAATAGCTTTCTGTTGACATTTTAGCAAGTTATATAGTTTGCTGTTGCGTATAAACGAAGTAAATGAAATCTGCATTAACTTCTGCAACTGACAAATTGAAGCAAAAAGGTGCATGCCTTATAGCAGTGGTTCTCAACTCGTCCAGCCTCAGGACCCACCACAAACTCCTTTGTGAAAATGCAAATTTCCCAACCCAAATTTCTGATATTTTTTCGACCAATCAGATTTTTTTTTACTGAAAAATTGGACCTCAGTCAGTACAAAACATGTGACAGAAGCAAGAAACCGAACAAAAGGAAATGTTTAAAAAGCGCTTCACAGACTTTTTTTGGACAAATATTTTGCGTCCCACTGAAAATAGCCCCGCGACTCACCTTTGGGTCCCGACCCACCAGTTGAGAACCACTGCCGTGTAAGATCTTAGGGAAAAAAAGGATTGCGCCATAGCTGCTGAGTACAACTCACATTAAGCTCTGCAATTAGATTTTCAGCCTTAAGTTTAACAGAAGGTCTAGCTTGGTTGTTAAAAACCAACCCTCAACATGTCTTTGGGTGTTGACGGCAGTTTTGCACTTGTTAACCTCAGTGATGTCTGCTGCTGCTGTTTTATCCCTCATACGTCCAAACCAGGCTTTCTTCATAGCTGCTCGTCCTAAATATAGCACAAAACTTGATCCTAATATCAGAATCTATTGGTGTGAAAATGAGAAGCTTTTTTTTGCATTTTTGTAGGGCAGCTGTCAAGACGCCAGGAGTAGAAGAAGTTAGTCTGTTATCAGAAGCGATGGGCCATTAGTGTTAAAACGAAGGGCGGCAACATTTTGAGACGACAGAGCGAGGCAGGGAGAGGGATCGAGAGAAATAAATGTTGATATGGAGAAGATAGGAAGTAAGTAATCTTCTAGTGTAGGATTTCCTGGTCTCCTGAAAAAAGAAGTGTTAGCTGCTGATAGAAAGATACTCCTAATCTCTTTTTTTTCTGGAGAATTTGAAGATTTCATGAGAAGCATTTTGAATGTTCCCCACAGTGGACTGTTAAAAGTGTGATGAGACTGATTCTACTTTGGTAAAATGTCTGAATATTTCAACCACTGATCTTAAGTAAAGTGTCCATTTACACAGAAAAACTGAGATCAAAGATCCATAACCAACTTTGTTTAAAATCCAATCAACCTCTTTGGTCGAGAGTCAGATGTGTGTTTTTAATATTCACTCACACAATTAGGGACCATTCTGTATTTTAAACTGTAGTTAACATGCTTTTGTATGAAACAGCGCTGTCTGGGTGGGCCATCCATCATAGCTTGTGGTTGTGTCTGACTCACAGTGTGCATGCATTTGTGTGTGTGTGTGTGTGTGTGTGTGTGTGTGTGTGTGTAATCGTACCCTCCTGGTATCAGTGACCTGTATATTCAGTGTGTTGTGGAACGTGATCTGATGCATTGACCCGTCTGCTCTTGCAGTGCAACAGACTGACGGAGGAGAGAGACGAGGCCGAGAGACAGCTCAAACACATCAAGAGAGGTAAGTCCAACTTCCTACAGGCCTCCTCACACTCCTCACACATCTCTGTATTACACACACCTAGACACGCAGCAGCGTTCATACTCACATAAAACATCCAGAAGAAGATGAAGGAATCATTTAGAAGTTGGTAAGGATGGTTACAATAAGGTTATTTGGACCCATTAGGTCTATCACCAAACCTCTAAACTTACATGACTTACAGTACATAACCAATCATTTATATATACAGAAATTAGACATTGTAAGGATGGACAGAGTAAAATAGTTTTTTTCTTTGAAACCAGGGTCGGTTTGGGGTTTAATCCCAGATCCTGCAGCAACATGTCCGATGTGTCCTTGGGCAAGACTCTAAACCCCAATTTTCTCCCTCTGCTTCATCGGTGGCGTGTGAATGCGTATGAATGGGATTAATTTCTTCTGATGGTCTCTTAAAAGTAGCAACCTCTGCCATCAGTGTGTGAATGGGTAGGTGTGACCTGCGCTGTAAAGGTGCTTTGAAAAGTCAGAAGACTAGAAAAGCGTTATACAAGCTCAAGTCCATTTACCCTGTACATGTTGTAAAAATGGACCTGTCCACATGGGACTTTCTGCACTTTTGGAACCAGTGTCCAGTGTTGCGTTGGCTTCATTTTTATGAAGCTTTGCTTTTCATTTTGGCCAAAATATGTATCACTTATAATGACTCTATATAATGTTTGGTTTTTTAATGATGGAGATTTTGATGTCGTTGAAAATATATTAGGTAGAAAAAAGGCGGACACATCATCCCGCCTCCAATTAGACAGCTGACACCTTCACTGCCTGCCTCCTCCTCCTTCACTACCCACCCCCCCGTCTTCTGTTGTCATGACATCACAACACCCTATCCTCTGAATGGGTGTGCTTAAAGACAGGATGGAGGGGGGTGTTTCCCCCTGTTTCTATGACAACAGTCAGGTTATTTAGCCTACAGACATAGAGCTTTTTTTGTTTTGTTTTGGAGAGTTTAACATGGGATTTAACTCTGTGAGGAGCTGAACATCAATCATACACTGTGAGGGAGGCGCTGCAGCTCCTGGTTTCAGTCATGACTATTCACAGAGGTAAGAGAAGGAACAAGATTTACATTTTTTTTTAATACATTATTATCCACACTATTTTAAAGCTTGTGGAAGATAGTGTCAGATGATACGAGTGTTATGCTCCAGATAATGTTCGGCGGGCTTTGTTTCACAGAGGATGTAAATGGAGATGCGGGATTTAGGACTGTATCAATAATGGCTGAAAATAAATTGATGCACTGTCTGGATGATATTACAGAATTCATACAGACTTTACGTGTCTGTAGAAGACTTAACAACCTCCAAACATGTCTTAAAAAGTCAGCATTTAACGTTTAAATTATAGAGATCTATTTTGAAAACCCCTGACTTCCTCGTATATAATTAATCTGACTTTATATTTATACTTTAAGACTGAAGATAAAATAAAAAGACTGCAAGCATTTCAGCTATTTCTGTGAAAAATGTTGTCTTATTCTTTAAATTTAGAGGACATATTTATTACAATTAGATCTGATGGGGTTGATGTTTTATGAGTTTGTCGGTCCTGGTTGCAGGTCAGTGGTCAGTTCAGTCTCCTGTCTGTTTGAGGGGTAACATGAGAACCTGGCAGCCTCCACCTGGTGTTAAGCCCGGTGTGATATTTCATTTTACATTGTTCCTGAGCGTTATTAGTGTGGAGGAAGTAGATTAAATGCACGCCCCATGCAAAGCAATTTCTTTTATGCATTAGCGTCAAGCTAACAAACTCAGATGCAGGTCCATCTGTGAGAAATTAGAATTTTCTTTGAATAATTGACATAGATTTTGAAACGTACATCCCTAAAGACCACCTACGTTTTAATTATTTAAACCCATTGGCTATGACCTGACGCTGATAAGAGCTTCCAGGAACAATGGCCAACTTTTGGGGCTTCTAGTGTAGCTAACAGTTGCTCATAGAGGACTTTCAGCAATGACTTCTGATTCTGAGTGTAGCCTTTGTCTACAGTCCAACTAGAAATTTGATGAGCAAGAATGAAGTTGCAGTTGGGAAACGATGTCTTAGAGTGGATTGTCAGCTGCACTTATATCAGATGCTAAATATAGAGAGAGGGGAGGGGGGGGGGTCGATTTATGTAAAAATAGAGGTTCTTATCTTCTGGGATTTAAAATAGACTTCAGCTGGAATTTTCAGTCACTCTGTGCTTCAACTGGACAGTTTATAAGAAAATACAGGAAGCTAAACTGTAAGATAAATGGGTGACAGGTCTTTTGGTTGGACTCAAACCCCCCAAAATTTCTTGTCAGGCATTTGTCTAAAACTTGTCTGCTGCAGCGAAAAGTGGACGAACACCTTCAGACTCAGCAGAAACGCTGATCCTTCTTTTCACTGCGGGCCCCGTCACTTCATCCCTTCAGTCTTTCATTCATTCACTCATTTATTCATTCACCGTCTCTCCCTGCAGGAGCCAGCAGTCTCTCCTGTCATGTTATTCCCATGAATAATTAAAACCTGCTGACATGAATAATTCAGCAGCAGAAACTGTATGTGTGTGTGTGTGGGCGGGGGTTTCCACTCTACTGCCTGACTCAGGATCCATTGTTGTGGTTCAAAAGGCCTTTTCTACCTGCTTCTCCATATTTGATGGTCATGTTTAAAGCAGTTAATGAAGGAGCCTTCAGGTTCTCGATTTCAGGCTCATTTGAATCTCAAAGGCCAGACTAATCGAGTCTAGAGTGACAATAAAAATGGTAAAACAGGACCTGACCCCAGACTCACTGATACACTGGGCCCATTGAAGGATGAGAGGTCATGATCACACTGCGTCAAGTCTTTAATACTGTAACTCTGGTGAAAGATTTCCACTGAGTGTGAGGGCAAAACATTCAAAAAGAAATCAGACATTTTGAGAAAAAAGTAAGAACACTACGAGATTAAATCGTATTATTATGAGCAAGAAGTTTAAATGTTATGATAATAAATTGGTAATATAACTACAATTTTGTCTTAATACTGCTGGGAATCGATCTATTTTATGAAGAAAAGTTATATCACAATAATTAAGGAATGTTTTCACCAAAAAAAAGTAAGACTTAATGTAAAAGTAAGGCTATGTTCTTGTAATATTCTGAATTAATTCTCGTAATATCAAACTTGATTCTCAAAATCTCAGATTTATTTTCTTTGGCACCCCCGCCAGCTTGAAAAGAACTCCACATGCCGACAGTGTACCAGTTTATCTTTTATCAACCTAGTTTGGAGCGGCTGGTTCGACTCCTGACAAATATTTTAAGAGCGCCTTATTGGCCTTAAAGGCTTTATATGCGTTCCCGGAGACAAGAGGAAAGATAACGAACAATGACAGAAAAGATGTCGCCCTTGAGCACCAGCATGAAACCAAAGCAACTCGCGGTGCATTGTTGTGTTAGCATGCTAATGCTAGCGATCGTTATTATGCTGGTATCTTCACACTGCATGTAAATTTACCTGAAATGAGCGTGATCTAGAAACACAGTTAAGCAGTGAGTACAGTATGTTATTCTTCTTTTCTCGAGTCCCTCAATTAAACAACTTTTATACACGAGGGGAGGAGTCAGCCGGCCGTCTCGGCGATGTAAACAAAGTGAAGATAGGACTCTGAAAACTCTGAAAACATCACAGACAGTGGGACTCGGGTGTTACACCCATTGTAGACAGTCATGACTCACAGAGTTATTTTCAGAGGATATACTTGATTTCTATTATATTTAAATGTGAAAAATCACATATTAAGCCTTTAAAGCCGGCTTTTAAGAAAATAATGAAAATGGAAAACCATTTTTCCTTCTTGAAAATTGCTGAATTAGCCATATTGCAGTCGGTAACTTTTTCCTTCATGTTTTGTTGAAAAGTCGATTTCTATGAGGGTTTTGGTGTTTTCATAAATGCACACAACACATGAAATAACGGCCAAATATTTCACCTCGAATTTACTCCGACGTTTCCTGCCAACCTCCTCTTATAAATTTGGTGTGAAGTTGAGATGAGCTGATGTGTGAGAACACCTCAGGAAATATTCATGGAAATTCACTGTGAGTGAGCGCGGGGGTGATGACATTTATGTCCTGTGACCAGCACACGATCAGTTTGACACAGAATGCCACGATGAAGCGGCTTCATACTCTTTTTACTCACCAGCATGTTCTCCCTGACTCTTTGGTTTGCACTGCAAATATGTCCAATCACACAAAGCACAACAGAGACGACTGTCATCATAGTGTCTGACTCGGTCCTCGTCCACCATTTCTATGATGTCCTTCTTCTGAGACCCCCCCCAAACACACACACACACACACACACACACACACACACACACACACACACACACACACACACATACTTTCCTGTCCAACAGTGAAAGTCTCCCACTTTTCTATATTCTGGAGAGTACATGTGAAAAAGGATTTTCAGTCATAAAACATCTAGGCTCTAGAAGAGCAGCAGTTTAAAAGCATTTGCTGCAGCTGCAGTAGCCAGTAGCGACAAGTAAAAAGTAACTTTTTGAAAGACAGAGCCGTACATTAAACCTGGAGCAACAATGTTCTGCATCTATTTTGAGGAGATTTCTCGGAGGGTTTATGTTTCATAAAAGAGTTATGAGAGGTTGTATTGGCCTTGGTATTGGAAAAAAAAAGATGTGCTGTAAATCAGACAGTGCCTGCAGAAACTCAAGTATCTCTGGTAGTTCTTTTAGCTTTGCAGCTCCTCTGAGTTAAAGTAGAAAACTGTCTCTTCCTCACAGTGATGGCTGCATGCTCCTGAGACTTCGAGCTGGTAGAAGCAGGCGGAGTGGATGTCTCGCAGTCTGTAATTTAAGCTTTGTATTAAGCATGAGCAGCAGAGCAAGCTGCTGGCAAAGCCGCTGTCGAGTGTCAACGCCTCAGAAGACCGGGCTTAAAACCGCTTTTTAAATCAGATACAGAGACAGAAAAGGG